AATTGCGGATCTATAGCGGATTGACGTTTCATGAATAATTATAGTTATCTATTGAGATGAAACCAGATTAACGGTAGAAAAGTAAAATTTAAATTAAATCGTTATGTAAAAGACAAAGTGGCAAAGTCAATGGTTGGAATGATTATTATAAAATTTATGATTGAGTTGATTATTATGTTAGTAAATAGTTAAAAAAATAAGTTAGAATAAGAGGTAATAAATGATATTAAAATTGAAAGACAATTTGTAGATTAATTAAAAATATATGTCAGAAAAATGTCAAATTTAAAGTAGGATACACAAGGATTCTGTAGTCATTAGAAAGGTCAAATAATATGAGAAAATAAAAAAATATTTTGAAGTATAAGGCAAAATTGAATGTAAAGAAAGTAGAATAGGGTGTATAAGTGAATAAGAGAAAGTGAAGTGAAGTGAATTATAAGAGGAAAAGGACACGTTCAAAGATATGTGGAAAGGCCTTTAAAAAAAAAAAAGAAAAATCAAGATAGTAAGAAAAGAAAAGGATTTATTGATTAGTTACAGAAAGAATTTTGAAAACGACAGTTATTAAAAGTAAGAAAAGAAAACCTAGAGAAATATAAGCAGTTAAGAAGCGAGAAAAGGGAAAAAGACTCAAATAGGAGAAAGCAAGAATTTAAAAATACCAGTTGGAAAAATAAGGTATCTAAGAAATTCGAGACAAGCGGATCATCCACAAACAAGGTCCAGGAAGACATAAAGAACGCTGAACAACAGTAGCAGGTTCCAGAGGCCAGTAGGAAAATCAGGAAAACGGAAGATCAGTAGCAGGATCCAGGAGAGCAGTAAGGAAACCGCATATCAGTGGCAGAGGAAAGAATCAATAAAACAAAGTAAAGGAGAGAAATCAGTCGACACATCTTTATCGATTATACGTATAAAAAGGTACCTTTTATAATAAAAACAAAAGTCGTATACGAAATATAATACAGAATTGCAAAAGTAAAAAAAAAAATTAATATAAAAACGTTTAGTAAATCACTAATTCAATATTAAGCAAATTTATTTAATCATTTCATATATATACTTAAAACTGGCCAATCTTTGTAGAATTAAATATTAATATTAGAGAAAATTAATAAGTGTTAAATAAGAAGTTATAAGATAAAGCGACAGTGTCTTAAGGTATGCAACCAGTATTACATGAAATTTAATTTAACGATATTATCAATATAACCTCTTGTATAAGGCTTTATAAACATTGTGAAATACTTCAAAATATATTGACTAGTGTGTTTAAGAGTTTAGAGTGACAAATTTTGACATATATAGAACAAAAAAAATAATAAATTCATTTATTACTAAACCTTTTGTTTTTATAGCTGTGATTGGTGTGGTTTCTTGCTAAAGCATAGAACCGACTACGGAGATAGAGTCTAGAGCTAGATAGGGCGAAGATATACAATACACAATACACCAATCCAACCAAATTAATATCACAACAATCAAATTTTATTTTGGCGCTAACATATAAAATCGTACACACATATAATCATAACACTATTTTATAAGTATTTTAAGTAGCATTTTATCCACGCAAGAATGATTAAACGCGAGAACGTAGTTTTAATTAATTTAATAAAAATCCCACGACTTGATATTTCTTACTAGTACTCAATGGAACGATGTAGGTTTTGTTATACCTACTGGTTACTATGTATATCAATTATTTAATAAACAGTTCTATCTGAATTTGGTAAAAATGGAAGAAAGTAATTATGTTCCTGTGGCTGTTTTTGAAAAAGCTCAAGAAGCAATAATTTTCCATTTATAGCCAACAAAATCCAGGGAACATTAACATTGGGAACATTGGTCGAAATATTCGATGTTGAAGGCTACTATAATGCCCTACTTCGGAAAAAGACCGTATGTGCAGTTTTGTGACCTACATCGCGTTATACCGATCTATAAATATCAAATATATCGTTTTTGTTTCTTTAAATTTAAACGTTTGTACATTTTAAATTTATAATATTGTGTCACTCTTTATTTTCTTCGTCGCTATACTAGAAAAAAACACCGTATGTCTCTAATGCAGACTTATGTGCATGTGTTTCATTAAGGGGTACATAGTATAAACGCCGCATGTGACCACATACGGCTTTCTTTTCTAGCAGAATCATTGAAATACGATATTTTTTTTACAAATTAAATTTGTATGTGTTCACATGCGTTGTTTTAAATTAAACAACAATTAAACATTATTTGCAACACAATATATTAAAAATATCCTGTAAAAACATCCAAATATCATGTATACGATACGATACGTACATGCTCTATTAATTTCTGTTAAAAATGTAGCACATACTGCACATACGGCATTTTTACCTAGCAAAATCTTAAATTTATGAAGACAGAACAACATATATGGCGCTGATTTTATTCAAATTGCATTGTTTTCTAACATTCTTAAAATACATTAAAAAATATTTCTTTTTCATTTGCTGTTACCGAAAAAATCAAGTTATTACCTTAATTAGTAAATGAATTACATCCAAATGAAGTATGCCTAATATCTCGATACAATTTTCTCTAAAGTGTCATTATGTGCACATACGGTCTTCTTCCGAAGTAGGGCAATATAGAGGTCTACAAAAATATAGATATTGGAAAATATAACAAACTTACTGCTTATTTGAATTGTGAATCCAGAGGATTCAAATAAAAAAAAGCTGCAGTGTTAGAAAGAGCACATATTGAAGAATTTTTTATTGGGGCTTACGATAAAGAATATTTAATGATTAAGGTAATATTTCTTTACCTTTTACATGTTGTTAGGTATATAGTGAACGTGAATTATTTTAGGTTACATTAATAATGGGGATTTCTAGTGCCTATCGACGCTGCGAATTGACAAATTTGAAAATAAGTGACGTACAGGACGTTGGCAGTTACCTACTTGGTTCAATACCTGACACAAAGACGGGCATTTCAAGAAAATATACAATTATAGGAGAAGGATTTTGAGTGAATGCTGTTGAAATATGCAGAAAATATTTTTCTCTGCTCCCAATTTACCTAACAAAGACAAATAATTTTCAAGATACATCAATCAAAAGTGGCGAAGGTACCCTAAATATCGCAAATCCAGAAGCATATACTGGCCATTGTTTGTGGTGCACTTCAACAACTTTATTGACCAATAGAAGTGCTGATCTTACAACCACCAAAAGCATGGTGGATGGAAGAGCTCCTCTGTAGCAGAAAGTTATGTTGAGGAGTCTATATCTAACAAACTTGATATTTAATTGCAAGGAAAATCCAAGGAAAATATAGCTGTTCCTTACAAGAAGAGACAACCGTAACTTGTGCAAATTCTTCATAAACTTCGGCAGATATTATGCGTTATGTTCTGAAAATGATAGCAACAATGTTACAAGAGTTGTTATTAACGGAAAGGACTAAATATGATAAAGCAAAAAACGAAATGTCTATTACTATAAATGTACATGTTAATGTTAATAAGTAAATAAATTAAATTTGATTTAAATTTATTATATTATTTTTTAATTATTCTGCTAGTGAAATAAAGATACTTTAGTATCAGTGGATAAAGTATCACTTTAGACGGTTCATATGTGTGGATAAAAGTCCGATTATAAGGTGATTGTAGGTAAACAACTTTAAGACCCTGGACATAAGAAAAAATTAATTTTATAGGAGAAAGTTAGTTATTATTAAATTATGGATTTTTAGTTTTGCAATTNAGCAAATTCCGTTTTCCCGAACTGTCTTACGTTAAAAAAGTACTCTTGTTTCAAATCGTTATCTTTAACGGTTTCTGAGAAACTTCGGCAGATATTATGCGTTATGTTCTGAAAGTGATGTCAACAATGCTACAAGGGTTGTTATTAAAGGAAAGGACTAAATACGATAAAGCAAAAAACGAAATGTCTATTACTATAAATGTGCATGTTAATGTTAATAAGTAAATAAATTAAATTTGATTTAAATTTATTTATATTATTTTTTCATTATTCTACTAGTGAAATAAAGATACTTTAGTATCAGTGGATAAAGTATCACTTTAGACGGTTCATATGTGTGGATAAAAGTCCGATTATAAGGTGATTGTGGGTAAACAACTTTAAGACCCTGGACATAAGAGAAAATTAATTTTATAGCAGAAAGTTAGTTATTATTAAATTATGGATTTTTAGTTTTGCAATTCTTTTAAAAATTCTATATATTTAATTATTTATACATTTAATTAATTATATATCTTATACCTTCATTGCTATCGAGGTGGTTCGGCTAAGACCGATTGCTAATTTTTTTTAGAATTCTCCTTTTTGTAAGCCAAGAATTTTATCTATAATGGTTTATAGGATTTGTAAGGATTTGTCGGATCGGATAAGGACACAAATTTGTATCAATTTTATGCGGCAGCGTGTCTGATTTGATGAATAGAATTGATGACTTGAGGCGTTTGCAAATTGAATTTAATGTTGGTATCTATTTATATAAAATGTATTAAAAGTTGTCATAAAAAGAAAGAGTTAAATGTAGTCGTGAAGCCCCTTGTACACGAGCGGCAAACTAATCACACATTATCTATTACTTGACTTCATAAATCTCTAATAATTGCAGTTAATAATTGATATGGATGATTAATCATACATTTTTGATCTTTGAACAAAAACAATTTTCTCAGTTTTCAAATTCATTGTGAATGGATTACATAGTTTATAATTTACCAGGGAATTTCTTAATACTGCAGTGACACTTTCTTGGAAACATATACCGCGGATTTTGGAAATAAAATATTCTTATGATTTTAGTAATATTTATATGCTGTTATATTGATCTGTGATATGTATAAATAAAAGCAGCAGTACATTATATGAGTAGCAGTAAGTGCGAAATGGGTATTTTTTAACAAAACAATACCTTAAACGTTTCATCTACCTTCTACGATAGGCATAGAATAAAAGTTTTTAATACAGTATAATAAAAGGCTTATATTATTATAATTTCCCAATTTTGTCTACTTTACTGTAATGTTAGACAAGAGTGTATGAAATGAAAATGAAATTCGTAGGACCTAGAAAGAAAACGTTAAAATGGAAAATTTCACCATAAAATTCAAATTTTACCTGAATAAAAGTGTCGTAGTTTAGCGGAACCAACTTTAGCGCCGTAATTCTTTTTACTTCCTGAGATTTCTTCATAATAACTAAAATGTCTTGTTTAATGTTTACAAAGTCTGTTTGGTACCAGTAACTTGAGAAAATATGTTGTGACAAATTATCCATCTAAAATTTAAAAAAATTGAAATTATGAGCAAGTAGGTCTAAGGATGCAGATACCTCTAAACCTATTTCATTAGCCACTGAGCAGTAACAGAATAATTGTACAATATGCCCTGATATGAAAATTGAGATATTTACCAGTTGCACATATTCTATTTCTTCCTAAAATTTAAAAAGTTGAGAAGAAAACGTTGCATCTTTTAAATAATTCTTAGTATATAAGGATTCTTATTCTAATAATAATAAAAAATAGTAATTTTTCTTAACGCCCTTTAAATGTAATTTAAGAGTAGGTGAAAGTTGTATTTTTTTAATTTATAAAGTACGAACTATAGTTGTCGTTAAAAAAATCTTATTTTTTTATTTTGTTATTTTCCAATATTTATCGTAGCAATATAAATGTGCTTTTGGATATAATTAGCTTGAAAATAATTCTTCAATAATTAAAATGACTTTATTTGCTGTATTGTAAAGTTAGTAGAAATAAGCAAATCTAGATATTGTGACTGGTGAAGAAAGGACCAACTTTCAATTTATCTTGACAAAACCACCTTACTTCCTATTACTGAAAAGGGGCATCTAAGGCTTTTTGAACTCGAGGCACAATGAATTGTAAATGTAAACTTCAAATTTTCATATTGAAAATAATAGAAAGCTTTTTTGAGAAAACATTGAGCTTTATTGCTAAAATTACCTTACGGTTGTGTGTATATGTGGTTGTAAGAGAATTGGTAACACATGTTAGTCTAAAATGGTAAAAGTAGAGGAGCAAAAGTTACTAACAATAAGTGATATTCAAAGGCTAGCTTACCTGAATGTGACAAGGACCATGAGAACAACAGAATTGATTGGGAGGAACGTTAAAACCAATGAATTAATAGCTAGAGGTAATCATACCAGATCAAATCCAAGCTGGTATGAAGCTGTTTGGAAACTCTAGTAAGACTAGGAAGTCAGAAAGATGTGGCCCTAGACCGTACCAGGCGTACCAAAACAATAGGCTGATCTGTATTATTGAGATATTTATGCAAAAGAGGTGAAAGACCTGAGATGGTTGTAAGAAACACATATAATATAGTTTTGCGCTATAATATATGACGTACAAGTAAAATACTTAAAAATCCTAAAAAAACTGTTAAAATGTCACTGGAGTAAGGCCGTAACTAGTGACATCTGACGTGTAGGCAATAACTATAACGCTGACACATTTAGGATTTAAGCTCTAAAGCATTACATTGTTCGTTTGGAAAAAGTATGACTCAAATTTCAATTTAAGAAATAGTATTATCTCAAGAATAGAAGGTGATAGACTCTTGATTGATTTTATTCAAAGGAAAAACCGTCTTATTTTTTAATGTGCTATCAACTGCTGCATTTATGGTACCTTCTGCCAAAATATCCTGTATATACAAAAGACGCAACACCAAAATATATTCAAAGCACTAAATTTGTGAATTGTGAAGTCTTTTTGTATTTTCCAAGAATTTTTATCTTACAATAATTAAATAACGTACTACAAAAGAACAGATCATATTTAATATGAACAGCAGGGGAAACACGGAAAACAGGGAGCTCTATAATGCACATATTCATAATCTGAATAAAAAGAAAATAAACAATTTGTCTACGATCACTATTGCCATTTGTAGACAAATTGTTCATTTCCACGGGGCTCTGTATTGGGGCCCTTTTTTATTTATTTATTCCCCTTCTCATTGCAGATATGCTTATGGATTCATCGCATGACTTGATTCTCAAGCTACTCGACTTGATATGAAAAGTAAATAGTTATATTTCAGTTAGTTGTTCCTAAAATTCTAATCTTTTACATAAAAATGTATCATCAAAGTAAAATTTAAACTATTATAATTGTTTTGCATACCAAAATGTATAAGAAATATAAGTGCATAAAGAAATTATATGTATAGGGAATATATAATTAAAAAAAACATTATATTATATAAAAAGAACTTATTGAAGCATGCTATACTATTTTACAGAACCTAAGAGCTGATAAACTCACCGTTGTAACTACAAAACTAGACATGCAGATCGCAATAATGCTGAAACCTAGTTGAAAGAGGCCAATAACGCTATACACTGTTTCAATATCCTCTGTAGTTCTAAAATAAATTGTACCTAATAGACCGGGAGATATAAGACTGAAGTTCGACGACGTCTTTCTCGTTTATGCCTCTGAGAGTACTGAGATGTAACCGAAAGACAAGTACAATAAACTTAATTTAAAAGATGGGCTGCGGGACACCTTTGTGAAAATTCAATTTTCCTTTTCAAAAAAATAATGTGTACAGCGACGTATTTCTCACTTATGCCATGTTCGTAAGTTGAAGAGAAGTATCGATTTTATCACAAAATTTTTTTGGCATAAGTGTCGCAAGGGACCTAAAAATGGAAAACTTTGTAAGAAAATGTGAAAAACATCTTTATTTGTCTACCAATTTCTCATACGACAACTTTGGGACTTATGCCTTCATATTGGACCCATAGAGGAGTTATGCCTACTTGGCACAGTACATTATTTATAGTAAGTATCATACATTTTCAACGGCATAAATGAGAAAGTTATAGAACGAAAATAAAAATTTTCCGCAGCTTTTCCAAAACTCTATTTTCTTTAGTCCTTAGTAGGACTTATGCCAATGTTTTTTATGAGCTTTTTGAATACAACAATGTCATATTTCTAATTGGTATTAATGAGAAATTGGTAGACAAATAAAGATGTTTTTCACATTTTCTTACAAATTTTTACATTTTTAGGTCCCTTGCGACACTTATGCCAAAAAAATTTTGTGATAAAATCGATACTTTTCTTCAACTTATGAACATGGCATAAGTGAGAAATACGTTCGTGTACACATTATTTTTTTGAAAAGAAAAATCGAATTTTCACAAAGGTGTCCCGCAGGCCATCTTTTAAATTTAGTTTATTGTACTTGTCTCTCGGTTACCCTTCAGTTCTCTCAGAGGCATAAACGAGAAAGACGTCGTCGAACTTCAGTCTAATACCTCCCGGTCTATAATTGATTCCTGATTTAAATAGGTAGCTACTTTCTATAAAGATTCTGAATCATAACAATAATATTATATTATTATAATCATAATATTCATTGTACTCCTTCTACATATCAATTACAGCAGCTCTATACATATGATTTTTTTATAAATAAAAACAACGGTTTCTGAAAAATAGTTTGCGATTTTAGAAATATAATTGAAGTTCTGATAATATATCTTCTGAAAATAAATTTACTAAGGTGAGATTGTAATGACGCTTTCTAAAATTAATTTTACAACTACTGAAACAAGTACAGTAAAGATCTATTAATTAACAAAAATGTGATTTTTTATCAAGTGATACCTTAATAACAACTGATGGTGTTTAATACATCGAATAAGGAACTCCTTCTCCTCTGTGACATTTCTTCCTATGTTGTCAGACTCAGAACTTAGTATAATCAGTTTAGAATTTATTTCTTTAACTTCATCGGTACCCAATTTCAAAACCACTCCTTTCAACAAACGGAACTGGGCGATAATGTTATAGCACGCAGCCATGAACAAAGTATCCACTCCAATTACGACACCCAGAACAACGTAAAAATTGGTAAAGCTCTGCACTAAGTACATTATTTCGAACTTGGGACTGCTACTGTATTCAAACGGATAAACTGTTTTGTAAGGTGTCTCCCTCGTTTCTTTAAACAGTGGAATAAGAATATATATGATAGAGAAAATAGAACCGTGAAAATATATGGAGATCATACCAATCAAAAGAATATGGTAATATCTATTTAAAGAACTTTCGACTTCTCTGCCTACCAAATTAGATGGCCAAAATTTGTAAAGAATAACATCTAAAATTCGTTTGGCTGTTTTTAGGTAGTAATAAAATATAGATTCTTTCACTATAACCTAAAATAAATGACAAATTACACAGCCCGACAAAAAAAAATATTTTTTTTTTGTTTTTAGATTAGACTTATCACTTCTTATAGATTTTGATGTACCAAATTTGAAGAAAAAATGTTCATTGTTTAGGTTTTTTGTAATCGAAGGGACAAATTTTTACTGAATATGGAGTTAACTCAATACTACTTTTGGTAAATATGAAGAATACCTACTCTATCTCGATTTTAACCTAGATGATTATTTTTCTATGTAGGTGTTTGTGGGTGCTGAATATGAATCAGATGTTCAAATTTGGCGGACGGCCCCTTTTAGGGCAAAAAATGACGAAAAATGGCGAAAAGGCAAAAATACAATTATATTGGAAAAATAAGAGTGACTTTCTGATGTATTTTTGGTCCGTCAACATAAACCTGATGTCAAAAAAGAGCACTCTGCCCTTCCAAGGGCAATTACTTAATTTTATTGAAAAATCTGACCTAACTAGTTCTAACGCATGCGGCAAACCCTTGGAAGAGTTTGAACCCTTCGTAAGGGTCCTACCAAATTTTTACCACTTCTTTGGTCAGTCACAAACCTCGGTTCAATATCGAAGACGTGTCCCTGCGATTTAGAAAAAAAATCTAAACGGTGAAAATTTGGTTTCAGCACATCAAAATATATAAGAAATATGTCTGATCTGAAAACCAAAATAAATCGTTTTTCTTTGTCGGTCTAAATCTGATATGTTCTCATAAAAATCCAAAAGTTTCGGTATACCTGCATCAGTGTAGAGAAAGAAGTAATAGCAGTAAAGCTTTCATTGAAATTTTTGAAGTTATTGGAGATGAAACTGTATAAACCATATTCAGTAAACGTGCAAATTCCCATAACTGACCAGAAAGCGAAACCTTGAAGTATATCATTCATTTGATCTGGCCATAGCCATACTAAATTTAGAAGCAGCTTTGGAAACCATAAACATATTTTTGCACAATCGCTTGTATTCAAAATCCTCTTAGGAATTCCTAAAAATATTTTTTTAACTCAAATTTAACTCCAAGTTTATCTTACCTTCAAACATTTCGCTTGACACAATTGAAGTCAAGAAATAATATGATCGAACCTTATGTGTATTTGTACATCTACATGTTCATTAATTTATTAAGTGGCAATTATATCTTTATTTCAATGAATAATTCAAGAATTCAAATTCCCTAATAATATGTTTAAGAAAACGATACTAATAGTTCCTCGTATATACCGTTTAAGAGATTAATTTTAAATAGACTGCTTACATACTGCTTATATGTTGCAAAATTAAATATACTGTCTATCCAATTTATTACTGGTTGGTGTAATTATAGTTTGTGTATTTGAATTGAAGTCATTTACTGTCCTTTTTAAAATATACATTTATTCTTTATTCTCGATATTCATAAAGTAAAAATATTTTTTGAATTTAAAATCAATATGAAATGAATTTAAATTTTGTGTTGTAGTATATAAGTTTTTAAAATCCTAGAATTCTAAGTTTTTTCGTTTCAATACCGATTTCAAATTGAATCGTTTTGTTCCTTTTTTGATTCCCGTGTGTTAGAGTTAGAGCAAATAAATTCTTCTTCGCTTTCTTCAAGACAAAAATTAAACTCTACAATATTATATTTTACAGTTTTTTGAAAAAAAAAGGAACACGAAATCATATGTGAAAATTCTTTTATAGGTATAATTGGTATTCATTTTCCTATATTTTCTCATAATATTAAAATACATTGATTTTAACCTATTATACATACGGGTTCTTCACGGTAAGTGGCCTATTAAACGTTTCAGAGGAAAAGACAATATGACTCCGAAATTTTGTTTACGGGGTTTATCAGACATGTTCTCTTCAATGTCCCATGGATATAAAATAAATTCAAAATATCTTCATTACAATAATTATTCTGCATTTTTCTTGTCGAGCAAATACTTGATTTACTGAATACTGAATGACAATACCAATATATGCCTTTCAAGGCACATTTAATGATATTTTAACGTAACATTCTTGAGAATTAAGTAAACCACATATTTCTGAAAAAATTGAAGCTACAAGCTACACCTACAATGTCGGTGGAAAGAGAATAATTATATTTTCTATAAGATGATGCAAAAGATTGAATTTAAAAAGTTTTGTCGGTTTTAAGTTTTCAAAATGTAACATAAAAAATGGGACACGTATAATTTTCTTCAGGTAATTTTGATAGTGGAAGGTAGTGCATCATATGTTCTTTGTATATTCCGAAAAACAAGTGAACGAAGAAAGGAATTTTCGAAACGCTTGCATCTGTCATAATTTTATAAATAATTGTCGATTATCTCGAAAACGGTTAGATTTAGGGACAAGGAAGCTTTAATATATTTGAATTATTTTTAATTTATCTTGTCGATAATGCAATAATATACAGGGTGTTTCATTTAAAATAACGAAGTTGACAGCTACTTCCGGTATAACCGGAAGTGCTACGTGGATAGCATAGCATATCATCTGATAATCCCTGTAAACAAAATTTCAGAGTCTTATTGCCTTTGGTTCCTCTGAAACATTGAATAGGCCCTGTATATACTTCATTGTGGATTATAAAACTAAATATTATTTCGCTGCTACATTTGTTCACATAGTTTTTCTTTTATCTCTTATTAAATCTCTAGAACGAAATCGTATTCTGAAATAACATTAAGAAACACAATAAATAAACTGGATGTTATCTTTTGTACAGGTGAGGAACAATATAAAATAATATCAATGTTTTCTTTCTTTCGGTATGACATCCCTGTGTAACCGATTTCGATTTTTTACATCAAAGTTTACAAACACAATCAAGGAATTTGAATTAAAGGGCAAAAGAAAGTAGGTGGTTTCTGTCATTTACACAGAAAACAGAAAAGTAAATTAAAGCGATATTTGTAAACATATACAGGGTGGCCAAATGAAAACGAAATAGAGCCATTTTCAGGAACTGCGTCAAGATTGTAGAAAAACGCTCAGACCTGTCGATTTTAGGTTAAAGGGGGACATTCTTTGCTGGCATTTTTGACTCCGCCACTTTCACCCCCAAGCAAGCGTAAGCATCACCCCAAAATATTTAAATGGCATTGGAGGTTGAGTAATATTTCTTTTGAAAGCTCTTACACTTCTCTTTACAACATACTTTAAATTTTATAATTCCGCCCAATACTTTGAAAAAAATATACATTTTAAATTTTAAATTATGTTTAGTTGCTTACTTACTACTTAGTTGATTAAATGTTCAAATTGATGACCGCCCGCTTCCATTTAAGAATAAAGATTTTGTTCGAAACGTTCGCGCACATTCCAAAGCATTTCCGGAGTGACTCAACGGCATTCGTCGACGATTCTTTGACGCAAATCTTCCAGCGACGCTGGCTGTGTTTTATAGACTTTACTTTTTAGGTATCCCCACAAAAAGAAATCAAGAGGCGATAAATCCGGTGATGGTGGAGGCCATTCAATGCTGCCTCTTCTCCCAATCCAATTCCGTAGAAAACGTTGGTTCACATACTGACGGACAATTAAACGCATAATGCTGAGGAGCACCGTCCTGTTGAAAAATCAAATAATCTTTATCATACTCTGGAACATTTTCAATAATATCAGTCAAGGCAGTGTCAATAGCGGCAATTGTGACGATTTACCGTCCCGTTCAAGAAAAAACTGCATTCATCAGAAAAATAGATGTTAAAAAAGAACTGTGGATCGTTCCCTGCTCGCTCACTAATTATTTCGCAAAATTTCAAACGGCGGCCATGATCACCCTCATGAGTTCCTGGAGTAAATATATTTTGTACGGATGGAATTTATTCTTTATCAAAATGTTTTGTATCCTAGTTTGATTGATCCCAGACACATATGCCAGCTGCCTCGCACTTAATGTAGGATCAAGATGAACTTGTCCCAAAACTGCAACTTCACTAGCTTCATTAACTATAGGTTTTTCAATTTCTCGTTTTTTATTGGCTACGTTCCTTGTCTTTTGAATTTTTTTTTACTAATTCTAGAACATACTTCCTCCTGACATGTCGATCTTGATGTTGTTCATTAAATAGCTGAGCTGTTCTATTCGCACATTTATTGTTCATAAAGTAAAGCGAAATGATATCTACC